ACCAGGCTGGCCTTGAACTCTCAGAGATCCACCTGCCTCTGCCTCCCGAGTGCTGGGATTAAAGGTGTGCGCCATCACTGCCTGGCTAAGCTTTTCAATCAATCTCATTTTTCTCCAATAAAGTCCATTTGTGCCATGAATCCCCCTAAGTAACCCGGCCATATTCTTCAAGGTCACCTTTGAATAAAACTTGATTCCTTCAACGAATGCATGTCTCCTCAATTTTTGGTTACTTTAAGGACATTTAATTACAGTAACAAATTGCATAGTCTTTGGATAGAGCTCACTCTGCTTGTTCATATTTATTAATGTGTGTATTCTTTGTACTGCTGGACGCTGAACCCAAGAGCCCACATATGCAAAGAAGGCACTCCACCCCTGAGCTACAACTCTAATCTCCTCTGATGCTTCAAATCATCCCTGGATTATTTATGATTCCTAGTACAATGCAAATGCTGTGTAAACCACTGTTAAACTGTATTGTTTAGAGAGCAGTGACAAGAAAAAAAACCTGTGCCTATTCCACATAGATACAATTAAAAAAAAGCAAAACAAACAAAAACATGTCTGGGGACTGGCCAGATAGCTTAGTGGGTAAAGGAACTCATCACTAAGTCTGAAGGCCTGACTTGCATTCCTGAGACCTACATGGTAAAAGGGGAGAACCAACTCCTGCAAACTGGCCTCTGCCCTCCACTGCTTTACTGTGACGTGCACATGCTCTCTCTCTTCCTCCCCCCACTTAATAGAAATATAATTTTAAAAACATAATGTAATTAAAACATTTTAAGGGCTGGAGAGATGGCTCAGAGGTTAAGAGCACTGACTGCTCTTCCAAAGGTCCTGAGTTCAATTCCCAGCAACCACATGGTGGCTCACAACCATCTCTAATGAGATCTGGTGCCCTCTTTTGGCCTGCAGTCATACATGCTGTATACATAATACATAAATAAATCTTTAAAAAAATTTTTTTAAATATTTTTTCTATACTTAGTTGACCCATGTGTGCAAAATCCATGGATACAGCAAGCTGACTATAAAGTGGTACCTCTGGAAATGAAATGGTCACCCTTCCCCAGTTTGTTATTATTGCTATTTGCTGCTTATTAATTTACTACCTGTAAAAAAAATATTCTGTAAAGCATGTATTCTTGTTCATGTTTGGCCACTGAAGTCTCTGCTTAGTTAGCTTGGTAGCCATGTGACTGTTAGATATACCAGGAACCAATGTCTTCCCGTCTTCATATAGAGGCCATTTGTGACACTAGGCCATCAGTCGACAGTTCCACCCCAGCCTTCAGCGTCTGCTTGTACAGAGCTTGGAGTGAACGAGATGGTTGATGATGAAGCAAGAAGATACTTGAGATAATGTTACCTTTCGTTTTTGAATTGTGTACCATTTGAGAGCATTGAGTAAATGTATGAAAGTAACTATAGGCTTTTGTTTGTTTGTTTAAGGGGGGTGGGGAGTGGGGGTGGAGGAGATGGGAATGTGGGGTGTTGGGGGAGGGAAGAGCAGTCTCTCTGTGTAGCCCAGGCTGGCCTCAAATATGCATCCCCTGAGTTCTGATCCCTGTACATACCACATGTCCTGTAGTACTATGCTTTTAATATGCAGCACAACCACAGACTTCAAATCAAGGACCTTCAAAGGAGCTCAGACATGGAGTGGGGGAGATCCTAGTCAATTGCTGGAACCACCCGTAGCTTTCACCCAACGTCTTAACCACACAGCCCAATATCCTGATGGCTTCAGCATGTTGGCTCTGCAGATGTGCACTGTACTGCAGATGTTCAACTCCTAGTCCTGCTGCTCATTTGCTTTGTGATTCTGGGCAAGTTGCTCAATCTTCGTGTGCCTCTGTCTCCTCAGTTATAACTTGGTTGATGCTACTGCAGATTAATGCAGATCAATGCACATCAAGGGCCTGGTATAGTAAAGTGTTAATTGCTGTCATTGTTAACTGACATCAGCAAAGAGGGAAAGATGCTGTTTCTTAGTGCTCTACCCTTGTCATGTGCTATTAGCAAGCAATGAGCACTTAGCATTATCTAGACAGATTCCCGAATTACTCTGCATGCATTCTCATGGGATGTCTTGCTCAGTGAGCATCGTAAAGAAGGAATGATTGTAGAGGACTTTCTCTTGGACTGCCAACCCCCAAATCACGACATCGAGACTTATTAATTATGAGTGCTAAGCCATAGCTTAGGCTTGTTTCTAGCTCGCTTTTGTTTTTAAACTTAAATCAATCCATTTCTATTTATCTATGTGATGCCCTGAGGGTCATTTACCTCATCTACATACTGTCCATCCTGCTTCCTCCATGTCTGTCTGTCTGGCCCTCGGCTTGCTGGCCCCTTTTCTCTCTGCCCACCAGTCCTGCTTATTCCTCTTCTGTTTAGCCATTGACCATTCAGCTTTTTATTAGATCAATCGGGTGCTCTCGGCAGGCAAGGTAAAATAGTAACTCACCTTTACATAGTTAAACAATTATTCTGCAACCTAAACAACTGCAACCCATCTTTACATAGTTAAACAAATATTCTATTTCACAACAAATGATTATTACTCATTCATTAGAAGTGACACAACCGAGGCTTAGAGAGACTGAATAACTAGCTCAAGGTCATGGTGCTTCTAAATGGGAGAATCATGAATTGAAATCCACGTGCTGTGATCTTCCACATGGGCATTGACAACTCAATAAACAGAACTGTCAATTCACTTCTCGGGAAACAGCCTAATCAGCCCGACCCCCACACCATTGCTGGATCCTGTGTTCACCTACAAGGTTCACAGGGGCATTTCTCTGTTATTAGTAATAGTAAT